AAGTTGAACTATAAGTTATGGTAACAAATTCATTTTTTAGCTTCGATGCGAAGCTGAGAAGGTATTTTTCATTAAAACTTTCACTTTAAAAGACAATAAAAAATAGGTTCAAAATGATTACCTTTAACATATTAAAAATCAAAATCAGTATTAATTTAATACAATTTTTTTTGTTCTTAATTATTTTTTTTTATATGTAAATACTTATTTTTTAATAATAAGTAATAATATTAAAACTTAGAAGTAATANATGTAAATACTTATTTTTTAATAAAAAGTAATAATATTAAAACTTAGAAATAATAGAAATATTTAATTGCACATTTGAAAACATCGCGAAAAGTTTCTTTAGAAAAGTATATTTTTTTTTCTGATGAAAGTTCCTTTTGTTTAGTGTATTTATTCATTAGTAACAAAATTTTTTTATTAAAAAGTATTGCATCAATTCCTTTAAATTTGTATACGCATTAAAAGTATATGAATATACAACTCCTTTTTATTTTTATAATATCTCCGTAAAAATTACAATATTATATTATTGAATACCACTTTCATACTCAATTTAATTACTGTAATTATTATGTATTCATATATTATAGTTATAAATCGGGGTAAAATTAAGGGAATAAGTGTTATTGTTGTTTTTGAAATAATCTACCAATTTCATTTTTTTCTATTTAATAATATTTATTTCAAACTTGCAAGTTGAGTTAAAAGTTATGGTAATAAATTCATTTTTTTTTTATTAAAACTTTCACTTTAAAGAACAAAAAGAAGTAGGTTCAAAATGATTACTTTTAACATATTAAAAATCAATAATAATTTGAAAATAATTAATTATAAAAATTATATAATATATAATTAAAATAATTACTAATCTGGATATAATTAAGGAAATAGGAGTTGGTGTTGAGTTGGGTTGGTTACATTTTTAACTTTATAATGCTATAACTCATTGAAAAGTGTATGAATCAACACAATTTTTTTATGAGAAATAATATTTTTTAATAATCCCTTTTTCATTCGACATACTTTATCTTAATCAGGGTATTAATAAGAAACTAGCAGATAATGTAGCTTTTGTAATTATCCACCAATTTCTTAGAATTAAACACTATCTACTGATTTGCATCGAAGCGTTTCTTATGATAGTGATTTTAATCACTGTCAGATTAAATCTATACTGGACCCAACTATGCAACATCCCCACTATGCCGCGACCCCACTGTGCTGGGTTTTTTTATACTGAATTGGCATTTCATTAAAATATACAGGCCCTAAATAATAAACAAAAGATTGGCCAAATGACTTATGAGGATATTTGAGAGGTATATTATATCTTGTATTTTCTCTTTTGCATTCTTGCAATTTATAGTCTTTTTCTTGTATGAACTTTTTGAAAGTAAACAAAATGACAATTTTTTTATAGAGAAATCTAACTGGCAATACTCCTAGCTCTTTATAATTTTGATTTGTGGAACCCCGCAGAGAGTACTTATTTAGGCAGATTCTTAATATATGAATTTGATTTATTTGTAGATTGTTTATCATAGTATCACCTAATCCCCCCCATACTATCAGTCCATACTGGAATATAGACTGATAGAGAGCAAAATATATGACCCGCATTGTTTTTTTGGATACTAAACCTTTTAATTTATAGAATCTATAAGTTACTGAACGTAACTTACCTACCAAGTTATGAATGTGCAGATTCCATCTTAAGTTTTGATCAAATATAATACCTAAATATCTGGTGCTAGCTACTTCTTTAATAGTTATAGATTTCTTTACATTATTATTATTGTTACCATCATCATATCTCTGAACTATGAATTTCATAAACATAGTTTTTTCTTCGTTAAGAGTTGAGTTTCTTTTACATAAACATTGATAGACTTTGTTTAAGCCAATAGTTGCTTTTTGATGAACCCCCTCCCATGACTTGTCTGTAAAGAGTAGACAAGTATCGTCTGCATAAGAGACAACTATCCCATCGAGACTTAAATCACTAATCAGGTTTATATATAATAAAAATAAGATTGGACCTAAAACACTTCCCCGAGGGACTCCATATTCAATAAAGCCTTCATCACCTACTGTGTTATTCATTATTACCATTTGTTTACGGTTTTTTAGGTAACTCTCAAACCATTTTAAACTAATATTGTTAATACCGAAATTAGGCAAAATTTGAAATAATATTTTATGGTTAACGGTGTCAAAAGCCTTTTTTAAGTCTAAAAAAACAGCAATTACTTTGTTGCTGCTATCCAACTTATTATATATAAATTGAGTTGTACTTAAAAGGGCATCATCAGTACCAATACCTGGTCTAAAACCATATTGATTTTTTGATAATAATTGATTACTCTCTAAAAATGAGATTAATCTTATTTTAATTATTTTTTCAAGTATTTTTGCGAAATTATTGAGCAAGGATATTGGCCTATAATTATTTAAATTTTTGCGGTCTCCAGCTTTAAAAATCAGTTTGATCACTGCAATTTTAAGATTTTCTGGAAAAATACCTTGCTGTATACATAAGTTATATATATATACTAGTGGGTTTACTATAAGTTCAATTATACATTTTAATAATTTAATAGTGATTTTGTCTATACCTGCAGCTGTATCATCTTTACATTTATTTACTATGTTAATTACATCTATGTTTGATATTTTTTGTGAAAAAATACTATCAAAAGAATATTCTTTATCCACATTTGAAACAAAATTTTTATCAGAATAATTAGAGCTCTCGGCTAGTTACTTTCCCATATTACTAAAAAATGTATTAAAAATATTTGAAACCTCTTTCGGATCATTGCTAACATCATATTCCTGATCATTATATATTACAGTTTTGATATCTTCTTTATTATTAACTTTAGAGTAAGAAATTTCATTTATAAGTTTCCAAGTTAATTTGGGATTTTCTGAAATGCTATTAAATTTTTTCTCATAAAAAGTCTTTTTTGCAAGTCTCAAAATTTGTGTATTCTTGTTCTTATATTTTTTATAGTAAAGGGCTAATTTAGTATTATTAGGATTTTTTTTACATTTTAGAGATAAGGATTGTTTATGTCGGGTAGAACATAATAAACCAGCTGACATCCATTCTTTTAATCGGAAATTTTTTGAAGTTATTTTTTTAGAAGTTGTTGATTTATTTACATAGATAAATAAGATTTTCTGAAACTCAGAAAAACATTGATTTGCGTTATTTTTATCATATACTTCCAACCATTCTTCTTCAATTAAAAATTTTTTTAATTTATCATGATCAATGAAAGAAAATGAATTACTTTTTTAGTCAAAACGGTGTTTATAGGTATAGAAACGCACGTTGTAAAATGATTAGTTATATCTGTCTGTAAAATGCCTGCATTTACCTGTGTAATTAAGTGTTCCTCATTGTGAACACCCTGTATATGATCAAGACATGCATGTTTTTGCCCGTAAGGTAACCTAGTATATAAGTTTATGAAAGACGCAAACCCGTTTCCCGATAATAAATTAAGATAATCATTATTTAGTGTATTGTCCCCAACTATATTTATATTCATATCCCCGATAAGCACAGTATAATAATCTTTTTTTTTATTTTCTGTAATAACTTTATTTACCGTATTATTAAAAATATTAATGTCAGTTGAGGGTGATCTATAAACACATAATAATAATATAATAGGCATACCTAAATTAGTGAAAGTAAATTTAATGATATTGGTTTCAACAAAGTCATACTCAAAAAAGACTATATTAATATTGGATCTAACAAAAACAAAAATACCATAATTTTGGTTTCGTTTTATAGTGGAAAAGAATAAGTTGTATCCTTCAATATTATAAGCATTTTGATTTATAGGATTGTGCCAAATTTCAGTCAATATAATTACATCTATTTTATCATTATTTGGATCATTTTCCAAAAATAAGTTGAATTCATCAAAGTTGGAGTTTACACTCCTAATATTACAACACAGAATATTAACATACTTGTTATTTATATTGTTATTAACATGCAAAAATTCCGTAAAAGATTCAAAATAGTTTGTTATATAGCTATGACATCCGTTTATATTTACAGTATTCTCCATTTATTATGAAAAATTAAATTTATACAAATTAAAATGAAAATAGTGTCGAAACTAACTTAATTTAGACAAGGAGTACTCATCATTAATTATAACAGCTTTACTACTTTCATTTTTTTTAATAAAAATTTTAGAATCTCTAAACCAAACAAATTTGTACCCTGTATCGCGAGCAAAAGCTTTAGTTTTGAAAAATAAATTTTTATTGAATTGTGTAAGACTATCATTAATAAAAATTTTCTCATCATTCCAATTTGAATTTACTACTTTACCCGTCAGCTTCGATTTTTTGACACAGTCCATCACAAATTTCTTGTTTTGAATTGACATCAAGTCTGCCACTATTTTCCTAGATCTATTTTTAACATTTGAATGAACACGGAATGCTTTTGTCACGGAAATGTTTGCTCCTACTGCTGCCGCGATTGACTCAACCATTTTTACACAGTTTTCATTATTAACCTCAGGGACACCAACAAATTCTACAAATTTTTCAATCGCTTTTTGCTCAAAAACGTTCATTCTCTTTTCTAATGAATTAAGTTCATTTTTCAATTTAGAGTTTTCTTCTTTTAAAGATGAATTCTCAATTTTGATATTATTTATTGTCACAATTAACTCTTGTAGTTGTTTACCAAAATTGTCAAATTTATCACTCATAAAATTTACAGATTTAATGAGATTATTAATAGTTTCATTATTTACATTATTTGTGTCCGTATATTCTGGGATTGCTTCAGTTTTTGAAGCCTGTGGTTTAAAACCTGTCTCATTTGATTTACATTTACCACAAACCCAGTTTTGTTTGGCTACTTTAGACATTTTTCTAAAAGCAGATTCCCTCAATGCTGCACATCCGAAATGCAATCANTTTAAAAGCAGATTCCCTCAACGCTGCACATCCGAAATGCAATAATGCATTGCATTTGGTCCAATTTAGGTTATCGCCATCAAAAATATCATCATTACAAATAATACATAACATTTTACGAATGATTATTAACACCGCACAATAAGAAACACAAAACTAAACGTATATAACAAGTGTAGAGATAAGCGAGTCACCGTTCGTACCATACGTGTGTACAGTTCAAGCACTGATAAGTAACTGAAATAGATTAATACAATTTTTCTATAAGTACTTGATACATATTTCTTTCATCCGACATCCTTTTTTTTTTAATGGGATCACTTTTCCTTATAGTGAAGGTATTCTAATCTTAATACTTTTTTAAATTTTAAAAATGATCCGGAAATACCTCGAGCTTCAAACATATGTTAAAACAAAGCTTATGTTATATACTATAAGTTAAACAAAAAATTTGTCACGACTTAATTATTTAACTTGCTTATGTCAATATATATATTACTATCAAAAAAAATAAAGTTTATACTTTTATTATGTATAAGAGATGAATTATAAATGTAATTAATAGCTTTTATGAAGTCAATATATATACGCAACTAAAAAAAATTTAATTTTTTCTAATATTGTGTTTATTTTGGAACTAATTGAGTGATTTACTATAAACGAAAAAAAAACCTTTAAAGATTTTATAAGCAATAAAACACACAACAACAGACCAAATATAATTACAGAAAGTATACAAAATACAAATAAATATTATTGAGAAAACCTAGTAAATTTCCAAAGAATTTATGTTACTTGAAATCATATTCTATTAGGTAATTTTTCGTACTAAGTATTGCTGCTATTTTCAACCAGTTTTGAGTTATATAATCGAAATCATAGCTTAAAATTTTAAAAATTATCATAATAATTTTGCAGAAATTTGAGATCGCGGCACAGTGGACGCAGGAAATTATTTTTTTAGTTTAGTAATACACTTCAAAAATGTATAATAAAAATTTGGTATAAGTTAAAACTTTTAAAATTTTCCTGAATTTTGATATATTTTTAAAACTTCTAAAATTGAGGAGGTTTTCAAATTTTTGCAAAGAATTGGTTATTATGGATTGAGATCGAGTTCCTTTTACGTATTGATCATTAAAATCGTACCAGTCAATAGGTCAATATTATGGATTGACAAAAAAAAACACACACACCATCACAAAATCAATATGTTCTCAGTTTCCTATTGAAGATAATACAAAGTTGACGCCCTTATAAGTTATAAGTGAGATTATTAATTATTTTATAACAGATAAATGAAGAGACATATGTAATAAATAAAAATAAAATGTATTAAAAAACTAGCTTACTGAATGGATAATGATTTAATTCAGAAAATGGCTGGTCAATAATAAATTTTGGACCAGTATTTCTTTAGTTCTTGAATTATTTTTTTGTAAGTGCGAAGAAAAGTACAGCTGGGAATTAGCTAGTTATAAAAATATCAGCGCCCACTCTTCACCCCTCTGAAATTACTTTAAATTGTTAATAAAAACAAAACATACAATTTTTTTATGATTGATAAATTCAGAAAATACATTTATTTAATAGAAACCAAAAAAAAAAAAAATTATTGTCGACCTGACGAAAACTCATTCTGGCTGATGGAAACAGTAACAGGGCAAGGTGTAAGACATTGTTAAAGTTCCTGTATGGTCACCCACCCAGAAATTAACAAAAAACAGCGCTGTTGAAAATCAGCGATCCACAGTGTCTTTCCACGCCCCGGTAAGTTTTTTATTAAGTAATGTTAAGTAATTAAGTAATGTTATTAAATCAAAAATTATTTGTGAGATGTCGTATGTAATAAATATTAGGGATTGTGAAACTAAAAAATAAACATATGATTAACAAACTCAATTATTTTGCACAAACATTATTTGTTACAAGTCTTGATTTATAATCATTTATTATTCATTATTAGGACAATAGAACATAAATGATAACTATTATAAAAATATTTATTATTGAATTATTTTTATATTACTTCACATTCTTTTATAGCATTCAGTAGCTCATTAGCTTTTAATTTTAAACCATCATCTCCTAAATCTTTTTTGCGTTGTGATACTCTTTGAATTTCTTCATTAGCTAGCTCATTATGTTTTTTTATAGATGGTATTCCTCTTACAATTACTTTGTGATCATTTAATAAATAATCTCTTAAAATATTTTTCCAAAACAAGATATCTTCACTGAGAAGTTTATTAAAAATTCTTTTTGTGTTCAATATTTCGTCTAACTAAATTTATGCGGTCATAATAAATTTGTTCCTTTATAGTTATTTAATTTTACTTACTTCTGATTGACTCTTTCCGTACAAAAAGTCAAAAATTATTAGGTATGGTAAAGTAGAATTAAAACCAGATTCTAGATTTCTTAGCTCAATAAGCTTAAATTTTTTAATACATTTTTTTAGTTCTTCTAGGTCAAAATAATCTTCATCATCAATTAGCTTTTTAAATATTTCATTTAATTTTAATGGTATTTGTCCTTCATCTAATTTTCTAATTGGTACGTTATTAAATACAAGTTTTATAAATGGATTTAAATTATAGCTAATATTGAAAGTCACCTAGAAAGAAATGAACAATAAATCATTAAGAACAATTAATTGAATAAAATAAAAATTTGTATTATTTTTACTTGGCTACAAAATGGGTCTGATATTTGAACAAACTCTATCTTCATTTGAATAGCAGTTAAATAACGTAAAAGTATCTCACAAGCCTTATACCTATAAAAAAAAGGTATAATTAATATTTAATAAAATATATATTTTAATTTTATTTAAACAGTAAGTAACTCTTATTATATATATGATTCTTTAACTATAGTTATTTAATTATTTAAAATTATAATATCAAAATTTGTAAGGTATAATATTTAGTAGATAAATAAATTTATATATAAATATATATAAAGAATTGAACAGATCAAATTGACAGCTCTTATAAATTATTATACAGTTAACGCTTTGTTAGTTGAGAAGTTATTTAACATTGTCAACCAAAGCACAAACTCATGATACTTGTTAACACTTTTCTTTAGAAGTTAATCAACCATGACACGGCCACGGCGTGTCACCCGTTTGGCATAATATTATCGGGTATATGGCCAAATATTAAAATACTTTGTAATACGACGAAAAGGTACCCCTTCATTTTTGTATACGTGTGTATTATATATTTTTAATTTATCTTGATTGAGCCGTCTGGTTGATGCGATTACGTTTTATATTTTCGTGTTATCGATAATGTTTGATCAGCTTTGTCACAATTTCAATAAAAGTTTTGGTAGAACTCATTATATGTAAAACCAACTAAACTCCCCCGTACCATAAAAAATCAAAACTATATATTGCTGTTCAAATATGTGATTACAGCGATTTTCATCAAGAAAAACAATATACTCAATAATACTATTCTAATTGGATAGTAATTTTGGCGGCTTGTAATGAATTATTAAGTATTATGCAATTAATTTTTATAATCTGAATACATTGTAATAAATAGATTCGCATTTAAATTATATAAACTTTTTAATTACTTATTTAATTAATCTACAAAATAACTTTATTGATACAATTACAGTTAATGTTACATTTACAATATTAGTCAATGTTACTATTGTTGGTAAAAAAATGTTAGCTTGTATTTATTTTTTGTAAAATGTATTTTGCTATTCCTAGTAATTAATATTTAAAAAAAATTATTATTTTCGAGATTCTCTGTTATTCGGCTATTTTTAGTATCATTTAATAAAAACATTTAGACTTTTAGACAAGTATAACAGTTAATAATAATTTTATTTTCCTATTTTATTGCTTTGTTATTTTTGAAATCAAAATGTAATAAAATTATAATATTTTAACTATAAATATATTCTATTTTTATATGTACATAAGCCTATGCAAATGTATTCTAGTCAGTATATATTTTAATAAATTGCTAAATAACAAGGTAAACATATATTGCTTATTTTAGATTATTTTTCGATGAAGTCTTGAAAAAGTGAAATAAAAAATTTTACCTACAGTAATTTACACCAAATTTAATTTGTCATGGACTGATATTTACATTTATTTCAGTTTCGTTCATTTTATTTTTGTATTAAGTATAAAATTCACGTTATAAATATATTAAACGTAAATGTCAAGTGTATTTTAGCGCATGAGTAGTTTTGTGTAAAATATCTATTTTTAGATAAATATAAGATTACTCATATCATATAAGACACACGAATTGATTATAAATTTTGAGTACACGTGTTCAAACACGTAATTTTCGCATGTATAGTATTTTAATCTATACCTATTTTAAACCTATACTTTACAATTATAACTTAAATTCTTATATGAAAAATATTCCAAACATTTTTCTTAATTTTAGAAGAAACATTTTATATTCTAAAAGTATATTTTATAATTCATTAAATAAAAATTATTGGTCTTTTCAAAACTACAAACATTCTTTTATTAAATACGTCATGAAAATGAATTGCATATAATTTTTATTTTTGACCCTGGAGGTTAATATTTAATATAATAATTATATTATAATTATAAAGTTTTTTTTGAGTGATAGTAACAATTATTGTTATTATCAATCAAAAAAAAAAAATTTATTTTTAATTGTTTTATGATCATTAAAAAAAGAAAAATGTTTATATCAATATATATTTATAATCTCTTTATTTTTAAGTCAAATAAATATGACACATTGTATTACTTATACGTAAATTATTCATAATTTATAAATTATTATAAATATACAAATCATATGAAAGCAAAACTTTCATTAATAATTTAAATGAGTTAATGAAATATTCATTTATCATATCTAATATTTTTATATTATACATATTTAATTACACCATATCTACATGTAAACGTTGAATATCTTAATATGTAATTTTATATTTCACATAATTTTACTATTTATACAATTAGTAATTGTAATTTTATAATTGGTTTGTAAAACAAATAATTTTTTAAAAACATTACAATTCTAAAGCAAGTTTCAGCTATTTCAGATCATTATAAAATACAAAAGATCAATGTGAATTAAGAAAATGCAATGCATACTAGTAGTAGTGGTTAGAATAATTAGTTCATTCATGATGAATCAGCTTCACCAGATGAAGACTTCGAAATTCAAATTATCAGTAAAACCAAGGAATAAAGTGCTCATACAATATCAGTACATATGAAGAAAAACAAATTAAAGAAATCTATTCGTGTTTGAAAAATTTATTTGAATTTGACATTCATGAATTCAAAAGAAATATACAACTAAACCAACTAAAAATTTAAGTCCAAAAACAAAGAAAAATCATAGATTTCCACATCGAATAGCATTTCTATAATTATTATTTACAGAACCAAATAGCAATACCTTATAATTACAAAATCAAAAATTCTAGAGGAACGAAAAACGTCTGAACTTATTATTTTATATGACTATTACTATATATAGAGAGAACAGGATAACGATTTATCAGATAACATTATATACATATTTTTTAGCTTCGATGCGAAGCTGAGAAGGTATTAATTTTACTATGATGTGTTTTTTTTTATCTATTTTTTTTTTGTGCCTGTGAACGCTCAATCTCAGCTCTTACTGGACCGATTTTGATGAATAATATGTCAAAAGATCACAAATCGTATCTAGTCGAAGACATTACGCTCAAGAATTGAAAAAAATTCCATCGTTCCCCGCAAACGGGGCCAATCCCCCAAAAAATTACAAATTTAAAAATCGCTAATTTTCGATATTTTTTCAATTTTTTTTACTTAAAAGTGCCATAACTTTTTTTTTAAATGATCGAATCAATATAATTTTTTTTTTATAAATATCTTAGATATTTACCTATCATTTTATATATTTTTATGAACATGTGACCCTTTAACAGCCCACAGGAAGGGTTTCAAACAGAAAACTTTTTCACAAAAAATTGACTTTTTCTACTTAAATTTTGAAAATGTTCCGGAAAGACTGACACTTTTATATATATATATTAAATTAAAGCTAATGTAATATACTTTAATTTGAAAAAAAAAAATTTGACCTCTGGACTTGTCTTCATGGTGAAAATGACTACCGTATGCAAAAATATGCTATTTTTGTGAAAAAATTCTTGATATTATATTTTACATTTTTTAACATTATGTTGCTATAACTTTTTAAAAAATGCATGAATCAACTTTATTCTTTAATGATAAATACTTTATATATACTTCTTTCATTCGACATACTTTTTTTTAAAATCGGACCATTTCCCTTTATACAGGGGGGGTGCAAACCTTTTAAAATGCGTATAGAAAGTAGAACTTTTTCAACTTAACTTTTGAAAATGTTCCGGAAAGACTGACACTTTTATATATATCTTAAATTAAAGCTTATGTAATATACTTTAATTTGAAAAAAAAAAATTTGACCTCTGGACTTGTCTTCGTGGTGAAAACGGACATCAAAGTTAAAGAAAAACGTACGATTTCCGTGAAAAAATTCTCGATTTTATATGTTATATTATTTAATTTATATTTTATATAACTTTTGGAAAAATGTATGGATCAATATTATTATTTTTTTATAGTAAATTCTTAATATACCCCTTTCATCTGACACGCTTTTTTTGTAAATCGGATCATACCTCTTTTACAAGGCGGGTCAAAACTTTAAACATGCGTATTGTTACTAGGATATTTTCAATTTAATTTTTGAAAGTATTCCGGATACTGACACTTTTATATATATCTTAAATTAAAGCTTTTAAATATACTTTAATTTGAAAAAAAAAATTTGAACTCTGGATTTGTCTTCATTGTAAAAATGACTACCGTATTCAAAAATTTGCTATTTTTGTGTTAAAATTCTGGGTTTTGTATTTTATTTTATTTTAAAATACCTGACAAGGGGAGTACAGATTTTCATAAATATTATATAAATAAAAAATTAATATAGTATAGAAAGTTAAACTTATTTAAATTTGTTTGCTTCTTTTAAGTCGAGAAAAATAACTTTGAAATTTGAACTAGCTTAAAAAGCCAATTTTTCAACCGCCGGAAGCAACGTACGNCAATTTTTTCAATTGCCGGCAACGACGTACGGTTGCCGAGTTGGTAAAACTTATGTTTTACACGCTTGGGGTACGAGGTTCCAACCCGCGTATGGCAATGAATTTTTTGCATTTTTTCTTAATTCTTTTTAAGTTAGTATAAATTTTTAACTCGTTTAATTTTTATCTCATTTAGATTCAATAACTTCAATAAAGATCAAGGATCCCATAATTTTAGTCGCCCCTTGTAAGAAGAAATTTCTTATTCATATTAAAATTATGTTACTATATTTTAAGTTTTAGCTTCGATGCAAAGCTGAGAAGATATATTTTTGTGACTATCATTTATTTTCTCCGCTCTAACTTGACCTACTTTTTTCAACAATACGTCAAATTACTACAATTCGTATCTAGTTGAAGATATTACTCTCANACTTCGTATCTAGTTGAAGATATTACCCTCAAATATATTGAAAAAAAAAAATAAAAAACCCAACCCAGCACAGTGGTCCCGTGGTATAGTTGGATCATGTATAATGATATCTGACAGTGATTAAAATCACTATCAAAAATAAACGCTAGATGCAAATCTTTAGATAGTGTTTAATTTTAAAAAAATTGGTGTTTTATTCCAAAAGCTTCATGATCTGCTGGTTCCTTATTAATATCTCGATTAAGACAAAGTATGTCGAATGAAAAAGGGTTTATTAAAAATTATTATTTCTCATAAAAAAATTGTGTGGATTTAAACGATTAAAAAAATAGGTGAAATATATCATTTTCCTTATTTTTAATTTATTAATAATCAAAATCAGTATTAATTTAAAACAATTTTTTTTGTTCTTAATTATTTTTTTTATATGTAAATACTATTTTTTAATAATATTAAAACTTAGAAGTGATAGAAAAAGTCTAATTGCACATTTNTAGAAGTGATAGAAAAAGTCTAATTGCAAATTTGAAAACATCGCGAAAAGTTGATTTAGAATAGTATATTTTTGTTTCTGATGAAAGTTCCTTGTAGTACAATGTATAAAACTTATAACTTTGTTAACTGTTATAACTTTATCAAAAATGACCAAATCAGTATATTTTTTTTTTATTTAGATGCATGTCTTTATCTATCATTTGGTTTTTTTTTTATAAATCTAACCCTTTACCTGCCCACAAGAGGGATTCAAAATAATAACTTTTTTTTTTTAGTTTAAGTAAATCATTAAAATTAATTCAGTTCTGGATATTTGAATTGTAGAATCTTTTTAAATATCAAAAATTACTAAGAAATGATTACTATGATTTCTATCTCGCTCTATATACTATTTTCGTAAGCCCCTTAAAATAAGCTCCACCTGGAAGAAATATTGCGTTTTTTCCTCATTTAAATTCCCCTTTCTCTTTTCTTTCCGCTTCTTCGATATCTCGCTCTATATACTATTTTCGCAAGCCCCTTAAAATAAGCTCCACCTGGAAGAAATATTGCGTTTTTTCCTCATTTAAATTCCCCTTTCTCTTTTCTTTCCGCTTCTTCGATATCGTGCTCTATATACTATTTTCGTAAGCCCCTTAAAATAAGCTCCACCTGGAAGAAATATTGCGTTTTTTCCTCATTTAAATTCCCCTTTCTCTTTTCTTTCCGCTTCTTCGATATCGTGCTCTATATACTATTTTCGTAAGCCCCTTAAAATAAGCTCCACCTGGAAGAAATATTGCGTTTTTTCCTCATTTAAATTCCCCTTTCTCTTTTCTTTCCGCTTCTTCGATATCGTTCGACGGCTCTTACGATCCCGCGTCTTTTCCTACCTTCGTTCGAATTTTTCGCCTTTTCCGTTTTCTTAAATTCGCGAAAAACGCTATTTCCTGGAACGGAAAACGACGCGAAATAGGGGAGCGCGCCTCCCACTCGGCCCGTTTTCGTCCTTATCACCGCGTCCGACGTCCGAACGCGTGGTCGTTATCTACGCGCCGCCGTTTTGTGCGTCGTCGTTTATTCTGTCGTTATTTCAATATATAGCGTATTGACCGTATCCGTTTATTTAATGTGATTTTGTAAATTTTCTACTTTTACCGCTATTGCCCTTTTATTATATGTACATATTAATCGAAACTCGCCGTTGGTAATTTTACACTGCGATTAACGCAGTTTATCAATTTGTCGATATTGTGTGACGGTCTTTGATTTGATTTGATTTTATAATTTTTAGATGGCGTTTGTCGTGTGCCCGGAGGACTGCTTCGATAATGAGAGCTCTGGCTCTAACGATCTCACAAACGGAGGATTTATTAACACGGGTAACGCCTTTTTATTCGTTAAAAAACACAAAAAAAAAATACTGTGCGTTCGACGTTTTGACAACCGTTGTAATTCATATATATATATAATTTCAAAATCGTTTATATAATCGTCGTAACGACAGTATTAATCGATTTGATTTTATAGTTTTTAGACGGCGTTTGTTGCGTCCCGAGGTGGTATGCTTCCATAACGGCTCGGCCTGTTGGCCAAAAGTGCTGGTTCTAATGGATAACGGATTTATTACGCGGGTAATTCGTTTTTATTTGTTAAATAAAATCGGTCGGTCAGTAATTAATGTAGTTTGTTTTTTTAATGATGGTAATGGCATCGATAAATTAATTTTCATTTTGTAATTTTTAGACTCGCGTCTGTTGTGCCCGGATGAATACGTTGGAGACTTCTGGCCGTTATCGCTATTGGATTGATTTATTTATAACGATGGTAATTCATTAAAAAAAATTAATTGTCATTGACTTTTCTCAAAGTAGAGTTCATCCTTTACATTTAAATTAATTTCGATTAGCGTATGTTAATCATTAGGTCGATTTGTATTTTGTTTATAGTTGCTATATTCATGTACTACATCGGTCAATACATTCTCTCTCTCTCTCTCTCTCTATAAATATATACATATATATTTTAATTTTTTTTGCATATACTATATTTATATCTTTGATTACCTTTGCGATTGTTTTTTTATTGAAATGTACTATTGACGATTTCGCAGCAATCGTCGTATAATAAAATTGTAGATTCTAGAAGATATTAGTAAGACAGTATATAGAGGTAGATATTTATGGTAATGGCAGTTTTAATTAATTTGATTTTGTAATTTTCAGATGGTATCTGTTGTGCCACGACAACTAAGCTAGAGATTGATGATGGCAGTCATCGCTATTGGATTTATTGCAAAGGTAATTCGTTTTCATTTGTTTTAAAAAAAATTTATTGCTATTGACTTTTTTTAAAATAGACTTCATCATTATACATTTTAATCATTAGTTTGATTTGTATTTCATTTATTGGTGCAATATGTACTACATCAGTGTATACGATCTCTCTCTCTCTCTATATATATATATAAGAGTTTTGGCTCTTATTCATAATGGTTGTATAATATTATTGATTGTATAACATATTATGGTAATGGTTGTATTAATTTAATTGGTTTTTGTAATTTTTAGATTGTGCTACCGTTGTGGTGCCAGGATAACAACTATGCTAGAGATTGATGACACTCATCGCTATTGGATTTATTGCACGGGTAATTTATTTTCATATGTCAAAAGAAATTTATTGCTATTGACTTTTCTTAAAATACAGTTCATCTTTATACGTTTTATTCGATTTACTATACATATATATATATTAATCATAAGTTTGATTTGTAATTCAATTTTTGGTGCAATATGTACTACGTCAGTCTATGCAATCTATATATTTATATATATATACACATATAAATATATTTTTACACTTATATACTTTATATTGTAGATATTTTATTATTATTATTATGGTAATGGCAGTATTAATTGATTTGACTTTATAATTTTCAGTCTGTGCATCTGTTTTGCCCGGTTGACTGTGATTGATTAGCGGCCGACCGACCCGAAGAGTGCTGGCTCTAATTCATGTTGGTTGTATTACACAGGTAACTGATTTTGACTTATTTTATTTGATATAAATTTAATTATTATTTTATTTATTGTTGATTACAACGTAATGTGTATTGCATCGACCGTAAGATCCAAATGTTTTTGATTTTTTCGTATGTATATATATATATATATATTCAGTTATGCGATTATTCATCGAATTGTGTGCAATGGAGTTCATCTTATTACATAAACAGCAATTGTAGTTTATATGAATATCTTTTCTGATGAAAGTATAACGGCAACGACATTATTATTTAATAAAATGTGTATTGGATAATCGTACGACAAATGATATATTTAAATCTTTTTTTCTCCTCTATTACGATAGTGACTGTATTAATTAATGTGATTTGTAATTTTTAGATAGTACACGGCCTTTGGTAAATTTCACTTCTGTTGATAGTTCTGTGCTGTTGGTTTTTTTTTTTAGTCTATGTTTGCCGCCCTCCCTTACTGTTCGCCGTTCCTCAAAAACGGTACTGTAAGCTTTTTGTTAGTTGTTATCTTGGATTTTATTTTGATTTATATTGTTTACTTTTCAGCCTGTCAAACCTCGATTCCATAAGATATTGCCATTCGACAATGGACGATCATCAAGATTACTACGTGCAGTCTGCTTTTGGAGTTCATCGAAAACGTTTATTCTTTATTTAATTTACAACATAATTCTTTTACCAATATTATTGTATTGATTTAGGTTTGAGTCTCTCATTAAACCGTATTTTTCTAATGATAATTATATCAATTTGTATTCCAAATACTCTACATTACTTCAATATGAACGAAATTTTTTTATACGTGTGAGGACAATAAAGAAATATCAATTAATAAAGAAACGTTAATTTTTTTTATTTTTAAAAGAAACTAATATCTCATCCTATGTTTACGATATTTTTTATTGTAGGTCGAAAAATAATAAAGTCTTGGTAATTTTAAAACATATTGTTCTATCACAATTTAAATTGCAATTGTTTATTTTTCTTATTATATCGATGATTAATTAATAATAATTGTATTAATGCATTCAAATTATATTTCGAGTACTGTATTTCAATACGAATAAAACCTTTTTTCATGTGTGTTGTTGCCCAATAGTGAAACATGATTTTTCCTATTTATATTAATTTTTTTATTTGAAAAAAATTATAATTTTTTATTTGTACCACATTTTTAAATACATATTTATAAATAAAGACATCCCCGATATAAAAAAATATCGTATCTGATTTTACATTTTATGCGTGGAAATTATCGTACACGGCGACTCTCTTTCTGAGTCTATTATACAATGAACTCACGATTCGTAATCGTTTTGTTCCAATGACAAACAATTCACTATTGTATTATTTTCAAATTTACAAGTTTAAATATTTATTTATTTAGCGAATACTTGGAATATTCGTTTTTGTCTACTCCATTAATTACATTCAACGTACTTTAATTTCGAATACTCTACTTTTTAACCCCTATTCGATACGAGTGACCGTGTCACATGCCCGCCGCGCAAACGTCATACTGCCGCCAATTCCTTTTTCAAGAATGCGGTTCACCCTCTCCATTACCGTATGTATTTATCCCCGTAAACCTTACTTTTCAACCGACGCGTTGGGCGTGCTACCGATTTCTCCTATTATTGTTCAACGCAACGTATCCGGCGCAGCCGGATACCCCTTTCCGTGATCTGTTACCTACTTGGTTACCAGCCTTTGCTGCCTCTTCTCTAGATCGCGAAGCAAACCCTTGGTTTCCGTAGCGAAACGTACGTTAGAAGCTATCGAACAGACTTTCTTTCCGAAACCACCTCCTCTAGATCGCGGAGCAAACCCTTGGTTTCCGTAACGAGACGTACGCTCGAAACGTTTGGACTTCCTTTCCGAAATCATCTTATACCGATCCAACTTCGCTTTTGTAGCTTCTGCAGAATAGCGGACGGATTTGGATTTGTTGTAGGGTGGGGTTGCACATTTTTCCGTTATCACTTGCTCCCGACCCCACTTCGCTTTTGCAGCCTCTTTGCTGGATAACACGTGGGTTTGAATTTGTTGGGTTTACTGTGTACGATGGGGTTTATTTTAACTAAAAACGATTTTGATAACGTATTAAGTCGAACAATATTTCTGAACTTCATTTACTATCATAACATAATGGTTTACTTATTGAAACATTACTTATAATCAAAATTACAACATTTATAATGTTTTTTTAAATAAATATTCCCGTCTATGATTAATTTGATTCAATTATAGTTTTTACATTTTGTCGTATTGTTTGAAATTAATCTTAAAATTAAAAAATTAAAAGTACGCCTTCCCTTAGGAATCATTACTACAATCAAATTCATGTAATTCAAAGAATTTATGGAACTCCCTAACGAAATTACTTATTAGCATAAAGAAATACAACATAGCGGATATGAGATTGTGTGGAGACCGCAATACAAATAAATCGGAATTTTAAAGCAGAAAAAACGTAAAATCTCTTCCAGGTGAAGCTATTTTAGTATAATATATCTATATTATAGATTTAAAATATTGTGAAATAATATAACAATTCATAGATAGCGCTTCATTATTCTTTGTTGAAAAAGTTGATTAGAATATGTTTAATACCTTTATCAAAAAAACTTTGAGATTAGAGAACCTCCGACTTAGTTATTTAACAAACTCAAAGAATTTAAGTGTTCTATTACGATAAAAATGCAAAAATATAATGAGTTTTTCTGATATATATATTGTAAATAGTAATTATAAAATTTCCTGACTGCATATTAATCTTAAAAATAACATTGTTTTAATTCTCATAAAATTTTCTATTTAATGATTCATTCTAGTCAACGAAGGAGTAATTTTGGCGAATAACAGAAAAAATTCCCAATCAAATTTTTTTTTTTTNGTGGGATCGAGGCACAGTGTAGACGAGGCATAGATGGGACAAGTATACATGATATCTGACAGTGATTAAAATCACTATCATAAGAAACGCTTTGATGCAAATCTGTAGATAGTGTTTCATTTAGAGAAATTGGTGGATTATTCCAAAAGCAACATCAACTCTTATTTCTCTGATTATATCCTGATTAGTAGTTCTTTGATTTTAAAATATAATATATGAATAAATAATAATTATAGTTTTTAAATTTAGTATGAAATTGATATTCAATAATTTAATATTGTAATTTAAACGGAGAATTTATAAAAATAATAAAGAAGTTATATTTTGCTTTACTTTTACGTGTATAAAAATTTAAAGGGCTTGATACAATAATTATCAATAAAAACTGTTTGTTACTATAAATGAATGCACTGGACTTCAAGGAACTTTCATCAGAAGCAAAAATATACTTTTCTAAATCAAATTTTCGCGTTGTTTTCAAATCTGCAATTAGACTTTATCTATCAGTTCTAATTTTTTATATTATTACTAATTACATATAAAATAATAATTAAAAGAAAAAAAAATTGTTTTCAAATTATTACTGATTTGATTTTTAATATGTTAAAAATAATCAGTCCAAATTTTCATTTTTAACCTATTTTTTTGGTTCTTTAAAGTTGATGAAAAATTTTTGATAAAGATTTATGAAAGTTTATAGTAAAAAAAATTGAATATATTACCATAACTTTTAGCTCAATTACAAGTTTAAAATTGACATCTAGGCCAGTCAACAAAGGAAAAATTGCGGAAAAAATTTTGTTTTTTTAAAAGTTGAATTAAAATATGTATAATGACATACTAATAGTCCTCAAGATTGGAATTGAGCTTTTTTTTTAAAGCCTCGCAAAAGTTCAAAAATATGAGCTTTCTTAATTTTCTCAAAAAAAAATATTTAACTTACAAAAAAAAGTTTCGCACAAAAGTTGTTTAAAAGACAATTATAAATAAAAATATAATCTTATATTTTTTCATTTAAACAAATATTTTTCGAGTTACATTACATTTAATATGAGTAATAAAATTTATATTCCATTTTTTTCATTTTACGGTTACTTTTTATCATGTTATACTTACATTAGACACAATGTTATAAATGCATATGTGTGTATGTGTGAGTTTATTTATTTATTGTATCATTAAAGTGTAGTGTATATTGAGATACAACCGATAGAGTAGGTAATTGATTTGACGCTATATTATTTAAACCCAACTAAACGCTAAATTGTACATTCCGAAATAACAATCATATTATGTCAATTGCCACCGGAATATCTGGTAATATTTTTCTTTTTCTTTGCCTTAATCCCAACTACTTGGGGTCGGGCACCCTTATCCTAAGATTCCACTTGACACGATCTCCCACATCTTCTACGCTCACATCAGCTGTCCTCAAATCGCATTCAATAGCATCCCTCCATCTCTTTTTTGGTCTTCCTCTATCTCTTCTTCCTTCAACATTCATTTCTATAACTGTTCTTACAGCTTTCGATTCTTCTTTCCTCATACCATGACTAAACAATCTAAGTCTATTTTCTGTCATCTTATCCACGATTGACGCAACACCTATACTTCCTCTTATATGCTCGTTCCTTATCCTATCTTCTCTAGTCACTCCACTCATCCAACTAAGCATTCTCATCTCTGCTACACTTATTCTCTGCTCTACTTTCTTATCAACCGCCCAACACTATTAACCATACATCATAGCTGGCCTCACAATTTCATACTAAATTTAAAAACTATAATTAGTATTTATTCATATATTATATTTTAAAATCAAAGAACTACTAATCAGGATATAATTAAAGAAATTAGAGTTGATGTTGCTTTTAAAATATTTCGCCAATTTCTCTAAAGGAAACACTATCTACAGATTTGCATCGAAGCGTTTCTTATACTTATACACTATCATACTATTATTTTGTTTTTGTATTCTATAATATATTTTTTTTTAATCTATCATTCAAATGCAATCGCTCATGCTATTAACTTTTAACTATTTATATTATCTACTAATATTTAATATTCACATAATAATCATTATATATTATAAATACTAAATTTATTAATTAACTTTTACTATACAATTTTCTTATTATATTTAATCAATTTTTTTCCTATGTTAAACAATAGTTGTGAGGGCACAACACTTAAAAAAATTGGGGTGGATGTCGTAATATGTCTTATGCTTTGCATTGAGCATCTTACATTTATCAATTAAAAATTTATAATTTGTATTTTATATTACTAGTATACAAACAAATAATTAATTTATCTGTTACAACATATACACTGTACATTAGATATTATATATGTATATACATGTTATATTGATTATTGTATACTATACATCTTATCTTAAAATAACTATCATGTTATGTTTAATTTAATACAATAAATTGAGAATCACTAAATGTGCTGACGACAACAACCCATGAAAGGGTAATTAAAAATAATATAAAAGGGCTTAGTTCTGCTTGCACATCAGTGAGCGAGCGTGCCAGCGAGCGGCTCATTCTCTCTCCTTTTTAACACGCTTATATTAGTTTCACATGTATGTTGTGTGTAACTTTCCACGCGCACATTTCCAACGGCCTTGAGACTAGACGGTCGTAATTATTTTTGATTTTCGTACCCGTATACGCGTGTGTGTCATCAATTATATATATGAATATAACACATTTTTATTGTGATTGACACGGCCCCGCGTCGTTTCGTTATACACGATGCCCCACGACTCGTGCCACCTTTATCAGCCGTCGCTCTATTTTATGAGTATTTGACTGACCAACACCGCGCGTTATACGCCGCAGTGCAAAGTCCAGCAAGTGCCGCACAGCCGACGACGTCCCGCCGCTAATAATACCGTAGTCTTCTTCCCATTGTCAAAGTGTTACAATGTC